CTTTCTCAGCAAAACTATGAAGGTGGATTTCAGAAATGACATGAGTACATTAATGGGTTCTTTCCTGAGGCAAGACAATAGCACATTTGTCAGAGGCAATAGACACACATTCACTCTTTTACAAACACAAAATAGACCCAGTAAAGAGATAACAAGATGTAGAACTGGATGAACACAGCAGGCCAAGCAGCATCAGAGGAGCAGGAAAGCTGACGTTTCGGGCCTAGACCCTTCATCAGAAATGGGGGAGGGGAAGGGGGTTCTGAAATAAATAGGGAGAGAGGGGGAGGCGGATAGAAGATAGATAAAGGAGAAGATAGGTGGAGAGGAAACAGACAGGTCAAGGAGGCAGGGTTGGAGCCAGTAAAGGTGAGTATAGGTGGGGAGTTAGGGAGGGGATAGGTCAGTCCAGGGAGGATGGACAGGTTAAGGGGATGAGATGAGGCTAGTAGGTAGGAGTTGGGAGGGTGGGGCTTGAGGTGGGAGGAGGGGATAGGTGGGTGGAAGGACAGGTTAGGGAGATGGGGACAAGCTGGGCTGGTTTTGGGATGCGGTAGCGGGAGGGGAGATTTTGAAGCTTGTGAAGTCCACATTGATACCATTGGGCTGCAGGGTTCCCAAGCGAAATATGAGTTGCTGTTCCTGCAACCTTCAGGTGGCATCGTTGTGGCACTGCAGGAGGCCCAGGATGGACATGTCGTCTGCAGAATGGGAGGGGGAGTTGAAATGGTTCGCGACTGGGAGATGCAGTTGTTTATTGCGAACCGAGCGTAGGTGTTCTGCAAAGTGGTCCCCAAGCCTCCGCTTGGTTTCCCCGATATAGAGGAGGCCACATTGGGAACAGCGGATACAGTATAGCACATTAGCAGATGTGCAGGTGAACATCTGTTTAATATGGAAGGTCTTTTTGGGGCCTGGGATGGGGCTGAGGGGGGAGGTGTAGGGGCAGGTGTAGCACTTCCTACGGTTGCAGGGAAAGGTGCCGGGTATGGTGGGGCTGGAGGGGAGTGTGGAGCGGACAAGGGATACTGTATCCACTGTTCCCGATGTGGCCTCCTCTACATCGGGGAAACCAAGCGGACGCTTGGGGACCGCTTTGCAGAACACCTACGCTCGGTTCACACTAAACAACTGCACCTCCCAGTCGCGAACCATTTCAACTTCCCCTCCCATTCCTTACACAACATGTCCATCCTGGGCCTCCTGCAGTGCCACAACGATGCCACCCGAAGGTTGCAGGAACAGCACCTCATATTTCACTTGGAAACCCTGCAGCCCAATGGCATCAATGTGGACTTCACAAGCTTCAAAATCTCCCCTCTCCCTACCGCATCCTAAAACCAGCCCAGCTTGTCCCCGCCTCCCTAACCTATCCTCCTCCCACCTATCCCCTCCTCCCACCTCAAGCCCCACCCCCATCTCCTACCTACTCGCCTCATCCCGCCCCCTTAACCTGCCCGTCCTCCCTGGACTGACCTATCCCCTCCCTAACTCCCCACCTACACTCACCTTTACTGACTCCACCCCCACCTCTTTGACCTGTCTGTTTCCTCTCCACCTATCTTCTCCTTTATCTATCTTCTATCTGCCTCCCCCTCTCTCCCTTTTTATTTCAGAACCCCCTTCCCCTCCCCCATTTCGGAAGAAGGGTCTAGACCCGAAACGTCAGCTTTCCTGCTCCTCTGATGCTGCTTGGCCTGCTGTGTTCATCCAGCTCTACACCTTGTTATCTCAGATTCTCCAGCATCTGCAGTTCCTACTATCTCCAGATCCAGTAAAGGCCAGTTTTGGGGAATTACAACTTACACTGCAAGAACATCTGAGAGATAACTGATGTGATATTGTATTAGGCCATTTTCCAGGTTTTAGGCTTGATTGTGCAGAACAGATTTGGAGCCTATTGCATGGAAATCATGTACTACCTTTAGAAGATCAGGTGTCAAACCTACTTTCATCATACTTTCCAGGCAAGGGGGACTTCCCCAACCCCACCTTCACAGTGTTCCCAAGGGTCCTGCTGGCTTGTGATCAAGCTGTCTTACATACTGTTCCCACATGGAGCTGAGCCATGTACTGTTGCTGGCAAAGCATGTAACCTGTTGATAATCTTTAAAAAATGGGTGAACTTCATGTGGAGGCACAGCACATCGTAGAAATTGACCCAAAATATAATAATGAGCTCTGGAGCCAGCTCAGGCTAACTCCAGGCCTGCCCATTGGGGATAGTAGGAACTGCAGATGCTGGAGAATCCGAGACAACAAGGTGCAAGGCTGGATGAACACAGCAGGCCAAGCAGCATCATAGGAGCAGAGAGGCT